TTTATGTGTTAATAGTATGCTAAATCCAACCTTAATGCATGGTTTTATAAATGTATAATTATATCAATAAAATGATTATAAATATACCCAACATGCTTAAATTTGCACATTAATATACTATTAACACACATATCCTAATTAAATTGCAATACTTTAGGCAATTTAATATGCACCTTATTATTAAATTAAAATTCAAATAGCAAATTTAAAACTTTAATATTTTCTCAAAATTGAATAATAATTTAATTATGACTTTAATGCCAAAAAAAAAAAAAAAAAAAAAAAAAAAAAAAAAAAAAAAAAAAAAACTAAAAGGCATTAATATTCCAAAACATGCAATTACTATATATTTGCCATTTGCCAAAATAATATACAATATTAATTAATGTCAAATTAACATGGTAATATACTACTTTCAAAAAAAAAACATGGTAATATACTAATATTAAACCTAATATAATTACCATACCAAAATTAATATGTATAGATTAAATAAGGAAAATATTTATGATAAATAAAAGTGTAAATTGCTCTTTAATATTAAAAGACATACCAGAGGTCTATGACTGCCGTAATTCTATGATAGCTTTGTTTATCCACCACTAGCAACAAGGCCGCAACGCCCCACGGCGCAACTAGTGATCGGTGCTACATGTAGTGCCCAATAGCACTGCGTACCAACGATTCTCCAACGGAACTCATGGTTGTTCCCAAAACACGGCAAACAAGCTCATAATTTCATATATAATTAATCAAAATATATATATGATGCTTGAAGATTCAAACTGAAATACGTACACAACACAGTATACACATGTATACATACGCAATAACTTATTTTGTGCTTAATGTTAGATTTGAATCCAGCATACAAATATATACAAATTAAACTCCATGTGTATATAAAAATTAATATTGATTAAGGCAAAACAATCAACCAGGCAGAGATTGATAAAGACTCTGATACCAAATGTTATATCTAAATAGTCTAACTAATACTGAACAATAGTATATGAGAGATCTGACCTCGTATGAGCGGAAGCGATAACCGTGTATCTCCAGCCATAGTTGATGTTCCTATTGTGTTGCCTCTTAACAGTAGTCCGTTAGCCATATTTTGCCTCAGACCTGACTCAGAACCTTAGATGGTGTATTGGTGTCTACTGAGCAGTCTGAGTATCGTAACTGAATGTGCTAACATCAATCATCCTGTATCCCATCAATCCAGGATTATATTAGGCACAGAGTTTGGTGGACTAACAACTTCTAGTTATTCAATCTAACCAGACCACTTAATAAGCCTAACTTGCACCACTTAATTAAGGCTCTAATATATAATATATAATATATATTATTAGGGAAAATCTTACACTTTTTGCAGTGCCAAAGGAACCCCAAAAAAAAACTGAAGGCAAAAAGGATGGCGATGGTGCTGTTGGTGATGGAGATACAGGCCAGGTGAAAATACAATTAAACTGAGCAAGACAGAGAAGCGTGCAAAGCTTAAAAAATGAAAAAAGAGGCAAAAATACAAGCAAAGGAAGTGGTTAATCTTAGCGTAGCAGCATTCGGATTAAAAGAAATGGGAAATGACATGTTTGCCCTCAATCCTTAATGTCCACTTCACAGCAATCATAACAGAGGACCACAGGTGGTTATTTTAAAAAAGACGGAAGACTTGTCGTGATTGTTTAAAAATTAAATGACCAAAGGCTAGTATATCGCTAATACTCGGAGAACCATTGGAAGTATTAACTTGAATCTAAAGTGACCCGTTAACTAGTAATTAGATAGACATGACATTTATTAAATTAATTTTTTTTAATTATTTTAATAATTTTTAAATAAAAACTTTAAAATAAATAAATAAATAACCGTTGGCCACCCCCTTCCCCCTCCTTTGTCACCCGCGACAAAGGACCTCCCTGCCATTTCCGGAGATCTGCTGGGGAGCAATATGCGAAGTTGGTGTAGGCGACATCTTTCGCTGACATGTTGGTCCTTTCTGAAACTCTGCTCTCAACAGAGATCGATCAACCGGAATATTGGAAACTTTTCGGTTTGGATTTAGCTTTTAGCTTTGATGCTAAGGAAATGGAGATGTGGAAATTTTGATAATTTTAATTTTCTTTATAAAGCATTGAACGCAGACGTTATTTGATCCATATATATGAATTTTAATGAACATATAGTATATTATTATTAATGGATTGGGTCCATGAAGTAATATGTACCTAGGTCTATGATATATGATATTTTTTTATTTAAAAAAAAAAAACAAAAAAACAGGTCTATGATATATGATATAATTTGTCAATGAAAATGGAGTGATAAATCCATAGGAAAATGACATTTTTCTTTAATATTTTTTTTATATTTAATAAAAGTTAAAGTGAACTCTATTTTTTTAAGGAAAACAAATTTTCAACCGTACTAGTAACTTGTATAAAGCAAATGTTTCTTTTTTATCAGTATTGACTCAGTTACAATGCAATATATATTCATAACTACTTTCTCAACCTACTAAATCACAAAGAATCAATCATGCCTTCAATAAGGCTCGAATCCACAACCTCCAATATGGGAGAGCAACTTGGTTCCACTCAAGTACTCGACAGCGTATAAAGAAAATGTTATTTTCCCATCTAAATTTTTCCTATAATATTTCCTTTCATAATGTCGTTTATAATCATTTGGTATATATATCTAAAAACATAATAAGCTTCAATCAAAGTTATGTCCCTGATTTTATGTCTGTTTTTTATGTTAACTTTTTTTGCACCTTATGCTATAAATGTTGTACGTACTACATAATTATTTGGACAAAAATATCTCTGCCGTTATAACTTCTGTTATCTTTCACATTATTGTTACCATGCACATGCATACACAATATCTTTTTCTTACATTCTTCAATTGGTAAGGTTGATTTTATTTAGATTTAATTAAATGTTACCATAGTTATATATAGTAATATATTATTTCTATAATTCTTACTTCATTAATATTAATATGAATTCTACAATTATATATATATTACTAAGATTTTAATATTAAATATTAATATTGGACATATATTTTTGCGCATCGCGCATATGAAATACTAGTAATTATATATATATATATATATATATATATATATATATATATATATATATATATATATATATATATATATATATATATATATATAGACAAAGGATCATATGAGGTCATGTTTCTACATGTGGTCTGTGGTCAAAATCTGACCTTTGATTTTGGTTGGATCTATGGCTCTTGTTTTTTGATTTATTTTAGGATTTATTTTCTCCCTTTTTCACGCCACCTTGATCTAGGGGCTCATTAGTCTTTGAGTTTTTTGTTTCCTTTCTCTTTTTTTTTTTTTGGCTCAATTGCCATAGTTTTAGGGATATTAAATTTGGTAATTAAAGATATTCCTCATTCATCTTTATATATTGCATCTTTTTCATATTCTTTGTTTGTGTTTTGGTGAAGATTACAGACTCTTTTATTTATTCGTGCTTCATTCTCTGTGCTATGAATTCTCCAGGTTTGTGTTTTCATTTGTTTTAATATATAAGTATTGTGCAGTTTTTTTTTTCTGCATTTGTATTTCGCTGGCTTCACTCGTCTTGTAGCGTTGTGTATTGTTTTTAAATCTATTCATTGTCTTCATTTTGTTTATTTATTGGGATTGTGAGTTTCATATATATAAACTGTGTATGTTATTATTATTTTTTTGTAGGTGTGTTGGTGTTTTTTTTTTGTTTTTTTTGTTTTTTTTTTTTTTTGTAATTATGGTTTATTGTAACCAGGAAGTTACTTTTTTTTAAAAGGGTTTTAACGTTCTGGTTTGTGTGGTGTTACCAGTGTGTTTTCTGTGTAATTATAGTATTTATTTGTTTTTTTTTTATGGTGGGTGTGTTCGATACGTAATGTGCATGTATAGGATTATTAATTGTGCAATCAGTTTGGTTTTACCATGTTGTAATTGTTTGTGTTTTTGTTTTTTTGTTTTTTTTTTTTGTTTTTGTTTTCATTTGTCACACCTGTGAAGAGTACGACCATAACAGTCGTACCTGCCCGATGCGCAAAGAGATAATGTAAGCCTGATGTAGCAACGGAATTATAATCTTATTTTGTTGTTAGCATTTTTTTTTATATCTCCATGCACTCTTAATCTGCTGCAATTTGTTTTGATACTGAAACAATGGCTTTGGTTTGTTGATTTTAAAATTTGCGTCGTTTAATTTATAACTTGCACAATGTGTAATCAGAACGTGGCACAAACAGTACCTGGAAAGTTAAACAGACTTGGACATTCTAATACTCTACGGATGCACAAATATTGTCGCCTAAATTTCCAAAAAAAAAAAAACACAAACTTCAAGGTTAATTACCTTTTGTTAGGTAACTCATAAAAACAATTGCAATTGTGCAACGTTGTGTTTTATATGAATGCAATTGTTGTTCGAAAAAAACAATTGCATTCATATAAAACACAACGTTGCACAAATCAGTACTGAAAATTTATCCATATTCACATATTGTACTACTTCACCGATGCACAACTTCTTAAGCGTGAATAACCATTTAGCAAAACTTTAACGAAAATTAATTATTAGCAAATTTAAATTGTCTTAGATCTCAAAATTTAATTAGTTGCATGGTATTGTACGTAGTTTGTGGCACTTACTGACATTAACACTAATGATAAAAGTTTTAAACTCCTATTCAAAATTGCACACAAAATTTGCATAAATATAAACCACAACGTTGCACAAACCGGTCCTGGAAATTTATCCATATTTGCAAATTGTACTACTTCACCGATGCACAACTTCTGAAGCGTGAATAACCATTTAGCAAAACTTTAATGAGAATTAATTACTAGCAAATTTAAATTGTCTTAGACCTCAAAAATTAATTAGGAGCACGGTATTGTACGTTGTTTGTGCCACTTACTGACATTAACAATAATGCAAAAAGTTTTAAACTACTGAAGACACTTGAATCTCGACAACGTCATTAAAGCAATCCTTTTCAGCTGTTACACTAACTAAGTTGGCTACATCTGTCGCATGAATATGCCAGGCTGCTCGAATAGGGGTGAGCTTGCGAGGTTTTTTGCATGATGCTCATTACACTCACTAAGTAGTATGTCACTCATGTACTTCATTCTCAAGGCTTCTACTATTGATCTGTCTCCTTTGTTGAGCCCACACTCCCAACTCGTATCACTCTCTCCTACGAAGGTCTCCATGTGCCTCATCGCATACACCCCACTATCCAGATTTTTCGTCGTATCCCTCCATCGCATTTGCATTCTTTTTGGATCCAGGATTAGTACTTTCGCTCCCCAGTCATGGTCTTTCTTATCATCTAGAAAAGTACATATCATGTCTTTCTGCTTACATAACATAATTGCAATTAGTAACTCAAGTTCATTTACCATCATGCACTATCATGACCAATAACACAGTTCCAATTTCTATCGCATTTGCATTTGCTTTGGCTCAACGAGTTGCAATGTTGCTGCCTTTTCTTTTTCCAGCATATTATCAAGAAAAGTTGACAACATGTCCTTCTGTGTGGTGTACAAAATCATTGTTAGATATAGTAGTCACGTGTACAACCTGGGTAAAATTACTCACACCATCACACCTATCTGCTAACAATATGCACATAACATTGTACTAACAAAGCACTTATAGCTTAACAATGCACAGAAAAACAAATCACAACTGCACAAGTTTGATCACCTAAGATGCTCTTTTCTGGGATTCAAAGTATAATACCATTACATATGCACAATGAGTGAATAACTTTACTTTAATATGCCTTTAATCCACACAAATGGAATCCACACCCAAGGCTATAAAGGAATAACTATAATTGATATTGTGTCATGTAATTCAATTAGGGGGTGTCAAATGTCAATGTATGAACATAGACTTTGAATGTAAGTTTTTTTTTTTTTCATTAACAGTGTTCCCCCATGGATCACCTTTCTCCCATGTACAGAACCCACATAAGCAAAGACTTGCAGTCTTGCATGAATACATTGGTCTTTTAAAAGCAATTTCCAAAAGAGTTTGAGCTTGCATTAGGATAACATACTGTCATGAATCTGAATGGCCATGACCTTGGGTCAATATTTTGATGCTTTTGAGATTACATGTTTGAAATCATAGACAGTAGAATTAACAGATAAAATTAAAGTAGAGATAATGGGTTCCTTTCTTTTTTTTTTCTTTTTTTTTTCCTACCACCCTTTCACAATTCCAACTTCAACAATTTTTCTATATAGCCTACTTGCACAAAGGCCCTGCCAATTTCAGTTTAGGATTCTAATTTCACACTATTGTGCATCCGAGCTAACCCTAACACCAACGCCGTCGTCACAAATGCACGTGAACACTCAATACTTCGACTCACTATTCTGCCCCACCCCCCAAACAGAGACAACCATTCTCAATTTCCAAATTTTTACCCATTGCATTCTACTCTGAATCGAGAAAAAACTGGCTAAGAAACATACCTATTTTCTTCGCCGCCTCAAAAGAGGCTCTCCGTTGATTTCGACAGGGGTTGCGGCGACCATTGCTTCAAACGGGGATCACACAGCCGCTGTCGAATTGCTTCGTTGGGCGGGGAATCTGTTGGTGTGGTCTAAACGTTATGCTAATCTAGTAGACGAAGGGGAAGGGGTTTTGGTAATGAAGCCTTGTTTCACGCGATTTTCCTTCCAGGATGCCTAACATTATATCTCCATTTTTACTGAATTACCCCCTAGCGTAATTAATTTCAGCGTTTTTTCCCTTTCTTTCACAATTTTTAATCCAACCATTTGTGTAATCTCAGCCATCTAAATTCACAATCTAACGGTACTTATTTGACCACAGTCCTCATGTGGGATGCTATCCTCACTTGAACCTTACCTTATATATATATATATATATATATATATATATATATATATATATATATATATAACAGTGGAATAAAAGTGGAATGCATTTAATAACAGTGGTCATAAATTGACAAAATTAATTAAGGTAGACTAAAATTGACCAAAAATGGAATTCACTTATTCCTCTCTCTCTCTCTCTCTCTCTCTCTCTCTCTCTCTCTCTCTCTCTCTCTCTCTCTCTCTCTCTCTCTCTCTATATATATATATATATATATATATATATATATATATATATATATATATGAGTTTGGTAACCGTCACGTCATCTAGAGTTTGGTGTATATATGACGGAATTTCTAATGGAATGGACACACCCCCATACTAACTATATAATGGATGCACACACACCTGTTTGCGTGTATGCACACATTAATGATAGGACGTATACTTTCTAAAAAACATATATACACACTATTGAACACACTATTATACAAAAATCCATGTTAATAGCCACACACGGTTGGTAGGGTTGTATGGCTTCACAGCCTAAGGCCGCATTATTAAACAATACTATGGTTTTTATTGCACACACTTATTGACGAATATGCACAATAATCAATATTCTTCCACAACATCAGGACTATCAACAAAATGCATACACCTTTTTGCATTTTTTGCGCACACTAAGGGCAGGTTATATGCATACTAAAAATGTATATAATTAGGAATGTTTTACTTTGTAAAAAAAAACATTGCACATACTGTTATACAAAAATGCATGATAGTAAGCACAAACTGTAGATAGGGTCGTATGGCTTCACCGCCTTAGGCAGCATTATTACACACTACTATGGTTTCTATTGCACACACTCATGGACGAATATGCACAGTACTCAGTATTATTCCACAACATTAGGGACGCTCAGTAAAATGCACACACCTGTTTGCGCTTTTGCACACACTAAGGGTAGGTCATATACATACTAAAAACATATATAATTAGGATTGTTTCACTTTGTAAAAAAAAACGTTGAACACACTGGTATACAAAAATGCATGATAGTAAGCACACACTATAGATAGGGTCATATGGCTTCACAGCTTTAGGCAACATTATTACATATTACTATGGTTTCTATTGCACACACTCATGGACTAATATGCACAGTACTCAGTATTATTCCACAATATTGGGGACGCTCAGTAAAATGCACACATAAATTTGCGTGTTTGCAAACATTTAGGGTAGGCTATACGCATACTAAAAAGCGCACATAATTTGGGGGTAAGCACACATTGTTGCTCACGATATTATTCCTACGCTTATTTATTTTTTTTTTTTAGTTTTGATTTCTACCATTGATAGAATCCCTCTAAATAAGGATAATATTGTATTTCAATTATAATCCAATTCAATGAAGAAACTAAAATTAGTATGCCACCCTACGTATTAAATATATCCTAACATAAATGGTCTTTAAATTCAACCCTTACCATTAAATAAAATAAATCGGATGATTGTAATGGGATCTTATGATTTCATCTACAAGGGTGGTTTCACAAGATCCAACCCCTATATATACTTATAATTATTATGATAACTAAGCTAATAATCTATCTATACTTATTATTAATAACAAAATCATTCTTTCATTCTTGCCCAAACACTTCTTCCCAAACAATAAAAAAGGAAAAATGAAAAAGTAAACAGAATTAACTTAATAATAATAATAATAATAATAATAATAATAATAATAATAATAATAATAATAATAATAATAATAATAAAAAATAAATAAATAAATAAATAAATAAATAAATAAATAAATAAATAAATAACCTATATCTATATCTATACTATAATTAAAAAAAAAATTCTATTACTTAATTTCTCGCCCAAACAATAGTAAATAGTAAAGGTAAGTTTAAAAAGGAACTTAAAATAATTAAAAAAAAAAAAAAGAAATAGGTCATAATAATATTCTACATCATCAAATAAAAAATTGAACGAGAATTATGTAAATTGGAAAATGAAATGAATATTAATAATTGACTGAAAATTAAAAATAGAAAAAGGAATGGAAATTAGGTTAATTGGAAAAGGAAATGAATATTAATAATTCACTGAAAATAAAAAAATGATCCATAATTGAGTAAAATTGAAAAGAAAATGGTCAAATTATTACATTTTAATTTTTCACAATAATATTACGCAGTAGAATAAATCAAATCACAATTATATCATAAATCTTTCACAATTTTAAACAATGGAACGGAAATTAAAAATGGAACAAAAATATTTCAATAATAATATTCTACATCATCAAGTAAAGGAAAATTAAAAATGGAAAGGAAATATTTCGTTAATAATATTTGACATCATAAATAGTAAAGTCATATTTTTAAAAAAATAGTAAAGGTAAATAAAAATGGAACGAAAATTTAAAATGAAACAGAAATATTTCAATAATAATATTCTACATCTTCAAATAAAAATGGAACGGAAATTAAGTAAAAATATCACTGTATCTGATATTCTAATTAACTAATTGACTGAAAATAAAAAAGAATAATTGGATGAAAATGAATCTAATATTACGAATTGATAGAAAATTTAAAAGGAAATAAATATTAATAATTGACTACAAATAAAAAAAAATGATACATAATTGACTAAAATAAAAAAAAAATGGTCAGATCATTGCATTTTAATTAAAAAAGGGAAAATTGTAATTTATGCCTCACAAATATGTCAATTATCAATGTTACCCCTGAATTATTAATGATATAAATGTTTCCCCTCAATTTTCAAAACGTGAGATATATTGTCCCTCCCTTGATTTATTAGTGATGTAAATGTGGTTAGACGTCGTCTTTCTTGTTCGAAGACCACGTTTTTCCCCTCAATTTTTCTTTCTTTGATTGTTCTCCTTCCGTCGACAATAATTTTTCTCCTTCTTCATATTAGGGGAGGGGCAATATATGTCACATTTTGAAAACTGAGGGGAAACATTTACACCACTGATAATTCAGGGGTAACATTAATAATTGACATATTTGTGAGGGGCATAAATTACAATTTTTCCATTAAAAATGAACGGAAATTAAAAATAGGACGAAAATATTTCAATTATAATATCTACATAAACAATTAAAAATGGAACGAAAATTAAGTAAAAATATCACTGCATTTGATATTCAAATTGACTAATTGACTGATAATAAAAAAGAATAATTGGCTTAAAATGAATCTGATATTACTAATTGACTGAAAATATTAAAGGATCACTAATTGAGTGATATTCTACCATTATATATTTTCACCCGAGTCACTCGTACTGATGGACTCAAGGTGTTAGCTCTAGACGAGGATGGACAAGATTCTGTTGCCACTACCAATGTCGTCTATGTTGGGTAATAAGGTGGAAAATCCCAAAATAATAATAATCCTACAGAAAGATTACTATTATATGGGAAAACAGAAAAGTTGGGAAGGAAAAGGTTGAGTGTTTGGGTAAAGGATTTAGCACGAGTTCGAACACAAGTTTCTTTTCCTTAAAACCTTATTTGATACCTCCCACAAGTGCTAGGAGCATTGTAGCCTAGGTTTCCCAGGATAAAACGTGCTACGACTCTTTGTTTAAGCACCTAAACAAAGAGCCCGGCAAACAAAGCAAACCTGGAACACAGATTGGCTGAAAGAAGAGAGTAGAAGCAGAGTTTTGAGATGAAAAGTTACTGAATTCCTTTGTTTCTCACTGTGTAAAATGCTACTTCTTCTACCTCTCTTTATATAGGGATGTTGGAGTGATAGCATTCAACATGGCCATTAAATTGGTGTTAAAACCAATTGTGTAACACCTGTAACAGTCACCACTAAGTAGGATTAAACTCAGAATTTAAAAATTGGAATTAAACCAGTATTAATTCCGTAACAGATGAGTTTAATCTTCTGCACTTTCGGGTTTCAGACCGTTGGGGTGCACGAGAGTACACACTCTCGTGCTGTGGTACACCACGAGAGTACATCTCTCGTGCTATGGTGCAATACGAGAGTACACCTCTCGTGTTCACCGTTGCACGAGAGTTTTGCTCTCGGTGCACCACAACCTCTCGTGCTCTCTGTAGCACGAGAGTGGTGTTCTCGGTTTCGGCCGAGAGCCAAGTGACTATAACAGATGGAAAATGATACCGAAGTTTGGCATAACTTAGCCCGCAAGGCCAGCCAATTTCCGGACGACATTCGTGCCCGCAGGTGCCGGCGCACGCGAGCTCGGGCTTGAATCAAGCCTTTTCGAGCTCCTCTCGCAAATTATGCTGTGCAACCGAATGCACCTTGCAAGGTGCATACGGTTGCAAAACGGTGCCGTTTTGGTTAAAAAAACGCGCGTCCCATTTAAAGAAGAAATCAGGTTCGATTCCCGGCAATAGCATTTTTATATATCCAGAAATTCATAACTATATAACCACAATTTTATAACTATATATCCACAATTTCATAACTATATATCCACAGTGAATGAATGAAGTAAAAATCCACAATGAATGAATGAATGAAGTAAAAATTCACAATGAATGAATGAATGAAGTAAAAATCCACAATGAATGAACTAAATATCCACAATATATGATTGAACTAAATATCCACAATGAATGAACTAAATATCCATAATTCCATAACTATATAACCACAAGTTCATAACTATATATCCACAATTTAATAACTATATATCCACAGTGAATGAATGAAGTAAAAATCCACAATGAATGAATGAATGAAGTAAAAATCCACAATGAATGAATGAATGAAGTAAAAATCCACAATGAATGAACGAAATATCCACAATATATGATTGAACTAAATATCCACAATGAATGAACTAAATATCCATAAATTCATAACTATATAACCACAATTTCATAACTATATATCCACAATTTCATAACTATATATCCACAATAATGCTATTGGTGAGAGTCGAACCTGATTTTTTTTTTTAAAGTGGGACGCGCGTTTTTAATCAAAACGACGTCGTTTTGAACCGTATGCACGGTGCGCATGGTACATTCGGTTGCACAGCATAACTATTGAGCTCCTCTAGTTGGATTTTGATTTGCACACCCCCCCCCTTCATTTCCCAATTCAAATGGGTCTACTTTGAGAATCAATATCTCATTCACCCATTATCCGTTTTGAGCGTACAATATATCAATCTCTTCGTCTCACTACGAAAAACACGAATCCACTTTGACCCGACCCAAATCGGAAGTGGACTCCACTGATAATTGTACCACAAAATAGCCACTTAATATGCCATTTTTAAGCTAATTTTTCCAACAGTCTACAAAGAGGTTTCAATAATGTGTAAATATAATCGCTGATATTATGTTTTTTTTTTGTAATTTAATGGAAAAATTGTTATATATCTAGAAAAAATATATCTCCCATACAAATGAATTAGAATAACAATTCATTCCTATAACTGAGTTGTTAGAGAACAAGCGCATTTGCCTAATTTATAAAAATTCTAAACAATGATAACCAAAATCTTCAAAGTTATAGCACTGCATGTGTACATCTAGAGATTAGCTATTAATTTGAGCAATTATTTACACAAATTCAAGCAATGATATTATCAAAATACATAAACGATCCAAACCATATCTTTAATTGCACTATATAATATTTGATGTTCTAATTTAAATAATTATATATCGATTCAAATATTTTTAATATATTACAACAAATGAATTCTGTGCATCGCACGAGTGAAAATACTAGTAGATTTTAATAATGAGTGACCCTCCGAGACAAGTCAGGTCAAGTGATAAAAGTGGGGGGGGGGGGGGGGGGGGGGGGGGAGAGGATTCCTATTTAATGAAAATTTACTTGCCTTCAGAATTTGGTGGGAATGAAATTGTAATTTCCTCCAACCAAATGCTCTGTTATAATATATATATTAGCGATAAGGGTCAACTAAGCCCTTTACTATTAATGAAAATGCATTTAAGCCCTCGAACAAAAAAAAAAAAAAAACTCTAATTATATATCTGAACTTAAAAAAAAAAAAAAGTATAATTAACCCCATTTGACCTGTAATTGCAGGTAATCTCCAAGTTACAGGTGATTAGAATGCTACATCAATATGTTTTGATCACTTGGATGACCAATTCAAATAATAATAATAATAATAATAATAATAATAATAATAATAATAATTACTAAACGGTGAAATAGACCTATATCCAAAAATATTATTCTATTTCTAACATGTTGGTGAGTCAAATGTGTGGTGTTAGTCTGTTTGGAAATTAAGAAAATGACTTCTGGACAATATTTTTTGAGTTTTCAATGTTTGGATGTAATAGGAAAATTCAGCAAATGAAAAATATTTTTCATTGACTAGGAAAAGTGTAGGCATTTTAGCAAAAAATTACTTCCACCAAAATTTGGTAGAAGTCATTTTTCGCCAATTCTCAAAACATGATTTCTGACCCTTTTTGCGCGGAAAACATAATTAGGCGGTTGTTATTGTTTTTTTTTTTTTTATATAAATAATAATAATATTTTTACTATTATTATAAATATTTTTTATTCTAAATAAAATATTTAAAACGTTTATTTATACAAGTCTACTCATTTTTCAGAAAATGAACCAAACACATTAAGGCAATTTTTCAGAATGCAACTAAACACGGGAAAGAAAAATGTTTTATGAAAAATGATCATTTTCTAGAAAATATTTTTCAAAAGTCATTCTCCTGCTTTCCAAACGGGTCCTAAATATATGTAATACCGAAACATACTATCATATTTGATTTTGTAAGTGTAAAATTAAGTAATAAAATATTAATCAGTCATCTTTCTGATTAAAAATCAGCCATAAAAAAAAAAACGAAAATATTGATCACCAAGCCCGCCGTAGAATAACAAACTATTTGTGTAAAAATATTTATAATATGCAAATCAGACACCATAACAAATCCAAATTTGTTTGAATTAACATAATGGATGGGGACGGACAACCAAATTATTCACCTTAAATTATTATTATGTCTCAATCCATGACAAGATCAGATAATATGCCAATAACCCTCCAACCATGAAAAGATAATTGGGCAATTTGATACAACCCCAGACAAGTTGGTCAGCCGATAACCACAAGCTTACAAGTTCAACTTGGTTTGAGTTGGTTAGGTATGGGCTACCCAACCCACTTGGATAACTTAACTGGTCACATAAATGTGAAATTTGTTCAGGGCCGGTCCTATCATTTTGTAGGCCCAGGATGTAGCAACAAAAATGTGCCATATATTAAATTAATATATATTTTTATAATTAAAATTTAAATTAAATAAGGAAAAAATAGTAATGTCAAATAACTTGAAATAAGAATCACAAGTTTTTAACAAGTATACTTACACATGAAAACAATTGTAGATGCATTTTTAAATTCAAAAAAATCAATAACCGCATCAATGCTTTCACAAATAAAGAATTATAGTTTATAAAAGCGAATAAATAATTTAAAACCAAATGAGCTTATAGAGAATCCTATTATTATTATAATAAATAATAAAATAATTTGTAATAAAAATTTATAAAACAAAACTTACAAATAAGAGCATAGCAGAAAATCTTAATTATTGGGAGCAATAAATCAAAATAATCTAAACGTGATAAAAAATATTCATTATAAAATATGAAACATAATTAATTGGATAAAATAATTCGAATAAAAAAGATATAATAAATCACACATCTTCTATATTATTGATATCATATTTATAAATACTTTTTTCTTTTAGTTAGATCAATTTTAAATTTTTCTATATTAATTTAAATTAAATACGATAATGCACAATAGGACTTCTAAACTACATTGACTAGATAATTCATAAAAAAAATTAAACTATCTTTTAATTATATTTCATAACTAAATCACAAAAATATATTACATATACATAATTCATTATGAAATTCACAAAATAACACATATTTTAAATATATATATATATATATATATATATATATATATATATATATATATATATATATATATATATATATATATATATATATATAAAAGTAGAAAATTACTCGAATAAAAATAGATTTAAAATTTCATATGAATCACAAATCAATCTATATTATAAATCTAACTATAATTATAGAAAGATAAAAAATCACAAAGTTAAAAATTAGAAATATAAATAAGTTTCATAAATTACGATTTTAATACTCGGTACTATATAATAAAAATATATTTAAATTCATCTACTAGAGTAAGGAGGAAAATCATAATGATCACCTCACAAAAACCAACCACAAACCCTACCAACTCAACTGAATTTCAATCAATTAACATAAATTCATATTAAATTATTATAGGAACTATATATAATACGGAGTATATATAAAAGGAGGTGGCTGGTGGGCCCCTTCCAAGCACGGGCATTGGGCAAGGGCTCAGCCTGTTAGCAATATTTAATTTTGATATTTTAGTTTAGACTATTATTATTATTCATTATTTTAATTAGTTAATAATGATTTAGTCTTCCTATTATTAATGCTAGTCTTCATGCATGTGGGAGCTTGATCCTAATTTTCAGTATATTATTGTTGGTCTTTAATCTATATAAAGACATTTCTGTAAACAAGTATTCAACAGATAATATAAGAGTTCTCTTCTTCTGTGCTATAGTATTCTTAGTCTCATGCATTAAGTGTCTTATTACTTCATTTCACACCCTACAATTGGTATCAGAGCCATGAACAATACAACTCAACTTTCAGTTCCTGTTTTGGATGGGAAAAATTATAATCGATGGAGTGCCCAGATGAAGGTATTATTCGATTACCATGAATTGCTTGAGATCGTGGAAACCGGGGTAGCTACTTTGGCTGACAATGCTACTGAGGCACAAAAGGCTGCCCATCGTGAGATGAAGAAAAAGGATAAGAAGGCACTATATTACATCCATCAAGGGATGAGTGACGAGACTTTTGAGAAGATTGAAGGAGCGACTACATCCAATGAAGCGTGGGATGTGTTGCTGACTTCATACAAAGGTGACGAAAAAATTAAAAGAGTGCGGCTCCAAACCTTAAGACGTCAATATGAGCTTTTACATATGGAGCCTTCTGAACCAGTTGATGCCTATTTCAACCGCATCCTTGCTTTGACGAATGATATGAAAGGAAATGGAGAGGCTTGTACAGAACAAGCTATGGTAGAAAAAATTCTAAGAACTTTGAATCCTAGATTTGAGCATATTGTAGCAGCAATTGAAGAAGCCAATGATGTATCCAAAATGACAGTCAAACAATTATCTGGTTCCTTACGAGCCCATGAGCAACGTATGAATGAAAACAAGATTGAAAAGCCAATTGAGCAGGCTTTTCAAGCTCAAGTCTCCATTGCCGAGACAAGTCGAAAGTCCGGTGGTTCCCGTGGTAGAGGACGGGGACGTGGTGGTAATCACTCCAATAGAAGTTCTGGAGGCCATAATAGCAATCATGATGCACGTGGTGGTAATGATCAAGAAAAAACACATCATCAACAAAATTCAAGAGGACGAGGTCGTGGACACGGTAGAGGAAAATATGACAAGTCTAACATTAAGTGTCTTATTACTTCATTTCACACCCAACACAGCCTGCACTTGCTCATGGCCGAGCCTGAATTTGTTACAAGCTATGGGCAACCCAACAATTCCATAAAATATTCATAATTGGAAAATAATACACGCCAACAACTCTAAATTTGTTTTAACATGACCATCAGCATGAACCAATAGATTAGAATTATTATTATTATTATTATTATTATTATTATTATTATTATTATTATTATTATTATTAATATTATTTTATAGAATTATGTCTCGATCAGCCCATGATATCCATTCAAGCATGGCAAGGTTGAGAATATGAACTACTTGTCAATACAAAAATATTGCAAATTCCTATTTCCAACTCCAAAAGCAATTAGCAAGTAAGACAATCTAACAACTCTAAGTTTTATTTATTTACTAGTCTTTTCTATGCGTGACGCGCAAAAACATATATGCCCAATATTTTTATTTTAAAAATAATTAATAAATTTTTACTAATTAAAATCTAAATGAAATAAAATTTATTTATTATATTAATCTAAGATATATAATGTCTACAAATATTATTATCATTAAAGAATATAAGAAAAGATATAATGTATCAGTACACCAAATGAATAAATGATGAGGCATTTAGCAGCGGTTACAAACCGCCATTATTGTGTTTTCCGGCGGTTATCCAATTGTGTCTAAATAGTGTGTCGCGAAGGTTTTAGCGGCGGTTTTTTACAACCGTGGAAATTTGTCCGTCAATCATTTAGCGGCGGTTTTTACTACATTTACCGGCGGTTTTAGAACCGCCTCAAAAAATTAATCATTTTTATTAACATTTAGCGACATTTCAATAACCGCCGGTAAACATTTTATTTAATTTTATTGTAAATATTAGCGGTGGTTATATAACCGCCACTAAAATATATTTTAATTTTTTACAATAAATATTAGCGGTGGTTATATAACCGCCGCTAAAATATATTTTTATTTTTTACAATAAATAGTAGCTGCGGTTGTAAAATCGCCGCTAAAATATGTTCCTATTTTCTTATTTAATAATTATGAAATTTTTGAACTGTCACTAAATTTTTCATTTTATTTTTTATGATTCTCATTAAATTATTATTATTATTTTATATAATTTTCTACATTCAAATTTGCATTGCAACCACGAAAAAATTTGTATATACATTCGATTTAAAAGAAAATCAATTATAACAAATATTTGTCAAATAATAACATCAAACAATATTCAAGTACTCTGATGAGGAAATCTGATCATTCTGCGCTGTTTTTGAGTGTCCATGGAACATTCCAAAACGGAGGGGGAGGAAGGAGAGGGTTTCGGTTCGAAATGGCCTGGATATATGATGATGGATGCAGGAATGTGGTGGAAAAGTCATTGGAGGAAGGGAGGAGTGAAGGGATCCAAGATTGTATAGCACACTGTGGGAACCGATTGTCCAGATGGGGCGGGGACCGGTATCATAAGTTTGGTGAAAAGATCAGGCACCTACGAAAACAGCAATTACATCTTAGGGGTCGTACTGATCTGGCATCCTTGAATGAATTCCAACGCCTGGAAAGAATTCTAAGCAATATGGAGATCCAGGAGGATGCTTACTGGAGGCAGAGAGCCAAGCAACACTGGCTAAAGAATGCAGATGCTAATACAAAATTCTACCACAGGTACGCCTCTCATCGTAAGAAGAAAAATACTATTTATAAACTTATGAATGATAATGGGGATTGGGTGGAAGGAGGTGCTATGAGTACGATTATCTTGGATTATTTTAGCCAAATCTTTTCCTCTTGTAATCTTGTGAATGGTGACAATTTATTTTCTGAAGTATCCCCGTGTAACCCAGAATCAAAATGAGTCATTATTACGTCCTTTTGAGGTATTTGAAGTTAAAGATGCCCTGTTTGCAATGGCCCCTGACAAAGCTCCTGGACCGGATGGTATGAACCCAGGTTTTTACCAACATTTCTGGGATGTAGTTGGTAACGATATTTCGACATTTATAGTGAATTGCCTTAATAATCAAGTCTTCCCCCCTGGCCTGAATAATACGGATGTGGTACTCATCCCGAAAAAGAAAACCCCTGAGGTGGTAGCGGATTTTCGCCCGATAGCGTTGAGCAATGTGATCTACAGGATAATGGCTAAGATGATTACGCAGAGAATGAAACCATTAATGGAGAATATAATATCTGGCTCTCAGAGTGCATTTATTCCAGACAGGCTGATTACTGATAATATTCTTGTAGCTGCGGAAGTGGGCCACTACTTGAATAGGAAATAGTGCGGGGCTGTAGGTTGGAGTGCACTCAAACTTGATATGGCCAAAGCCTATGACCGCATGGAATGGCCCTTCCTCCGTGGGATGTTATTAGCTCTGGGCTTCGATAATAGATGGATTGAGTTGCTTATGTTGTGTGTGACTACTTTGTCGTATAACTTTATGATAAATGGCTCTCGCAGTTCCTCCATTACGCCCACGCGTGGCCTCCGCCAGGGGACCCATTATCTCCATATTTGTTTATTATCTGTGTGGAGGGGCTTTCAGTGCTATTGCAGCAGGCGCAGAATAAAGGTTTAATACATGGCTGCAGGGTTGCTAGGGGAGCACCGCCGATCTCTCATTTATTTTTTGCAGATGATAGCATACTGTTTTTCAGAGCAAATAGACAGGAAGCATCTGAGATAAAATATTGTTTACAGTTATATGAGAATTTATCTGGTCAAAAAGTAAATTATCATAAGTCCAATATATGCTATAGCAGGAATACAGGATAGACTGATAAGGATATGGTGGCACAAATACTAGGTGTTGCCCAAGCCCCCAACTTTGGAAAATACCTAGGGTTACCCTCATTTGTGGGTAGGAACAAGAAGGCTGCATTTGCATACATAGAAGATAAAATCAAACAGAGGATTGGATCTTGGAACATGAGGTTGTTATCACAGGCTGGTAAGGAAATTTTTTTGAAAAGTGTGGCTCAGGCAATGGCAACATTTTCAATGAGTGTTTTTCTTTTACCCATATCTGTTTGTACAGCTATTGAACGTGTTATGAATCGGTACTGGTAGGGGCCGGGTATGGATCGTGGCATTCACTGGAAAGCCTGGGATAAATAGTGTGTCCCAAAGAAACATGGTGGACTGGGGTTTAAAGATTTAAGGGCATTTAATTTGGCAATGTTAGGAAAACAGGCATGGAGGCTGCTCACTAACACTGACTCATTGGTCGCCAAGGTTTATAAAGCTAGATATTATCCAAAGGATACATTCCTAGAGGCAACTATAGGAAATAATCCAAGCTTTTGTTGGCGCAGTATCATGGCGGCTAAGGACCTAGTATGTGGCGATATAAGAAGGCGAATTCGGAATGAGAATTCTACCTTAATATGGGAGCATCCCTGGCTGCAGGATGAACTGGATCGTATGATTCACACAGAAATGCCACAGTACCTGTCTGGGGCCAGAGTGGAAGGATTAATTGATCAAGATACGGGCACCTGGGATCCGCATATACTAGCTGATATTTTCCAACCGAGTGATATACCCAGAATTCAGTGTATACCAGTTGCCCCTGAGTATGATGATATATGGTATTGGTATGGTGATCCTAATGGATGTTATTCAGTCAAGAGTGGTTACAGGCGTATAGTTGGTAATTACGAGAATAATTCTAATGGGATTTTTAATGAATGGCTAGCCCTATGGAAATTAAAAATTCCACCAAAATGGAAGACATTCCTATGGAGAGCTATTTGTGATATCCTTCCTACTACCAACAACTTACTTATAAAGAGAGTGGATGTTAACCCAATGTGTGCCATGTGTGGGAGAGTGAATGAAGATACCATGCATGCATTAGTTTTGTGTGACTATGCACACTCCATTTGGGCTAAATCCAACCTTCCAATCCCCAATATTGTCACAAATATTTTCCATGAATGGTTTAGTGCAATCTTGAATGTTCTAGACTTTGATGGAATTGTTTATGCAGCTACAATTTTATACCATCTATGGAGGGCCCGAAACGGAGAAGTATGGGATGCCTGTCTACCAAGGCCAACGAAATTATTAACAATTGCAGCAGCTACAATGAAAGCATGGAAGGATCTCCATCACCGTGCCCCATCACAGCCCCGAGCTGCTGCCCACCATCCTACTGCCGAGCAGCCTCCACCGACGCCAGCTGCACCGAACGCCGACGCTGCCGAAACCGCACTGCCTCCGTCGTACGCCAGCTTGCCGGAAGTCACGCATGGAGAGGTGATGACGCCCGTCAAATGCTATATGTACGCAAGCTATCACCGAGGAACCAATGCAGCAGCTGCTGGTGCGGTACTCCTCGACGCCAATGGCCGCTACATATCTGCTTTCAGCGCCCCATTAGTAGGTTGCCACTCCCCGCTCATGGCCGAGGCTTTTGCATGCAAGGAAGTATTATCATGGCTTAAAAGGAGGAATGGACTATCTATACAGATTCATATGGATTGTCAACTACTGCAGTGCTATTTATCTGGACCACCAGCCACATCACGCTCATATCTAGGTTATGCTATCGATAGTTGCAGAACCTATATTTCTACTTTTACTTACTGCTCAGTAATTTACATTCCTAGATTACAGAATTTATTAGCTCATACTTTAGCTAGTACAGCACTTAGTTTCGCTACTGCTATGTACTGGGACAATGTCCCACCAGACTCTATTTTAACTCTTCTATAAATACAACCGCCAGGTTGACTTTCAAAAAAAAAAACAATATTCAAGTACAAAAATCTACATATTCAAGTATTGGAAGTCTACAGAATTTGCTGAACTTCTCCAGAGCTATGCTCACTCGGGACTAAATCAATCAACAACTGTGAAGCATACTTTGGGATTATATATGTATTCTAGTCTCAAAATGGTTTTCTTATATCTACCTATATTGTACTTAACGCGTGTGAGTGGGTTACCAGCCTTATTCGCTGACGGTTGTTACACCGTATGTTTTTCAGGTACTGACTTGTAGCTAAGGAGCGCGCTAGATGGACTCGTGGATTTAGCTTAGTCTTAGTTAGATGGCCTGTGAGCCTTGAATTGTATTGTGGATATTAATTGA